TTCTGGACTGCGACTATATGGTATGTAAGGTGTAGATTGTATACGAACATAATACGTGCATATCATGCCACATATTGTGATTGTAAATCACATCGTCCTTGTAACACGACTCCGTTGATGTTTATTCTGACGAGAAGGAATGGCCTATGCTCGTCGGAGAAAACGATGCAATTGTCAGTGACAACACTGACCACTGCGTCCTTCCCACCGAATTCGTGGGCGAGGTTCTGCGGATAATCCATACAGCTAGCTACCAATGGATCAATCGTAGCCACTTTGCAGCGTATGTTTCAGTGTTACGACAGTGCTGCATATGTGCTAGTGTTATAACATTACTGCACGTGTGGTAGTGTTTTACCTATATATCACTCTCACATCGCAGTGCAAGTAACCTGGTATGGGTTTGTTGCTGGCTAAGGTTGGTACTAATATACTTGTCGACTCTGCGTGTCATCAACGAGCCGTTCGCATCAACGCCACACCACGAAAATATCCGAAAACAACAGTGATTGCTTTCAATTAGATATGTCTCGGATATCTATTTGAGGTAAATTCTTCTCAACCGATTACACCAGACCCACACCACAATGTTTATGTACAAAGATGATGAATTAATATCAAGTGTTGGTGTTGGTTTATAGTACGCATGTTTAGATATCTGTATGTTCTGTTCTGTTGGCACGGGCCACTCAGACAAGTCACCGTGCCCATGATTCATGCATTACAGCGCGACTTGGCCTTGTTCTTTATTTTCCAACTGCTTCCTTGTATTCCTTTATAAACTGTAGCCAACATCCAGTGCTTAAGTAAGGAATAACATAGCGCCATAGCTTATAAGTGAATACGTTTGTTTCCATGTATGCCTTTGTAAACTGTAACCAACATCCAGTGCTTAAGTAAGGAAAAACATAGCGCCATAGCTTATATGTGAATACGTTTGTTTATCGACACATTATAAGCCGTCGAAATCTGCCTAGCTTAAAAACCGATCGCCAACCGCTTATGCAATTAGCTGTTGCCTTGCCTGCATTCCAGATGAGACCCATGTCGATTGATCTGTTCCATTCTCTTGTTTTTGCGCCACTAGTGTAATTCGGTTACAGGCAATAAGAAAACAATAAACAATGTTTATACTAGAATTAAGATCTCTCGAGCGATGTAGGGGCTTATTGCTAGTGGGTTTCTAGATGAATGAGTATAAATGCAGTTGGTAAAATGTATATTTTTCATTGATGAATCCGTATAAATATAAATGATGAATAGGTATGAACGTATTGATGAATATGTATTATTATCTTTGATGGATTCCTACAAATAAAAAAATTGTATCATTGATAGATTCTTATAATTATAAGATTAAATATATATAATATAAATGATGAATATGAACAAATATAATTGATTAATAGTATTAATGTATTGATTAATGTATATATTGATATCATTGATGGATTCTTATAAATATATGATATATATATATAATAGAAATGATGAATATAAACAAATATAATTGATTAATAGTATTAAAGAATTGATTAATGTATATATTGATATCATTGATGGATTCTTATGAATATATGATAAATATATATAATATAAATGATGAATATGAAGGAATATAATTGATGAACAGTATTAATGTATTGATATATATATATATTGATATCATTGATGGATTCCTATAAACATAATGAATATATATGCATATCGTTGATGAATTCTTATAAATATATGATGAATATATAAAATGAAACTGATGAATATGAACGAATTAAATTGATGAATAGGTACAACTGTTATGAGGTTTAATCGAAGTATAAGTTTAGAGCCGTGTTGTCAGAGAAGTGCTAATGCACAAACACATCATATATTTCTGAAGTGCGTTCATATTCGTTCTCAAACGCATCGGAGAGTCACACAAGTACTTTTTGGAGTTATTGGTACAACGTGCTACCTGCCCGATGAGAACAATTCGCACCCAATATTGTTTTGGTTCGTGAAATAAATGCTTACCGGCTTGTGTAACTGCGCTGTATTTTAATTTAAACACCTTCACTTTCTTGCACTTGGTAGGCAAGCGCGCAGCAGGCAAGCGAAGTCTGGCGGGACACACAACACCGACAGTGCGAAAGGTACCACACCACAGCACACGCCGCCAACACCTCAGTCCACAGTGCCAAAGATGGCGTCATCGAAGGTAGGAGAGTGTTACCCCCTACAGCCCCCCCATACATAGGACTTACACCCCCCCCCAGACATAGGACTTACACCCCCCCCCCATACATAGGACTTACACCCCCCCCCATACATAGGACTTACACCCCCCCCCCCATACATAGGACTTACACCCCCCCCCCATATATAGGACTGCATCGCTGCGAAACAATTTGCCGATGGTTCTTTCCTATAGAGACGTATATTGTTTTAGGGAGTTCAATAGAGACATGCATTGTTAAATGTGTAGATGGTTCTTTCCAATAGAAACATGTATTGTTTTAGTGGTTATAGTAGAGACATGCATTGTTAAATAGTGCAGATAGTCCTTTCCAATAGAAACATGTATTGTTTTAGTGGTTATAGTAGAGACATGCATTGTTAAATGGTGCAGATAGTCCTTTCCAATAAACTCTCATCCGAGTCCAACTCACGTCGAGAATCTAATGGAGTTGAGGACGTATACGTGCGGTATTGACCGGGGGGGGGGGTGGCGTATATACGATACAACACCTTCGCTCTCATTTGTGTGTGACGTTCATTTAAGATAAAGTCCTTGAAACAATATTTCTGTGTTTGCACATCCACCCGACTTTAGCCTAAATCGGTGGCGTTGGCAGCCGACGACTTTCCGTCGTTGGGCACACTGCCTGGTGGTAGATCTCCGATTGGTGCAAAGCAGACCGCATGGAGCGCAAGGGTATGTTGTTACATACGCACATACGCAGCGACTAATCTAGGGTTCTACTTCGCACTTTTTGGTTACTAGTGTTACTCTTGTTCTATATAGCTCCTTTGTTTTTGGCCTCACTCGTGTTCTATATAGCTTCTTTGTTTTTGGCCTTACTCTTGTTCTATACAGCTCTTCTTGTTGTAGTTCCTACCTTGTTCTGCATAGCTCTTGTTTGATATGAATCTCACTCTTGTGCTATATAGCTCTTTTTTGTTACGAATCTTACTTTGTCCTATATAGCACTTCTTGGTTACGAGTCATACTCTTGTGTTATATAGCTCGTCTTTGTAATAAGTCTTTCCCTTGTACTACATAAGCTCTTGTTTGTTATTAATCTTTCTGTGTTCCATTTAACACTTCTTTGTTGTAAGTATTGCCTCTTTAGCTTGTTCTTGGGGGTTACCTTACTTACGTTATATATAGCTCGTCTTTGTTATTAGTCTTCCTCTTGTTCTATACAACTCATCGTTGTTTGAACTGAATTGTCAAGACACATGATGTTTTATTCGCAAGTGTGAGCACCAGCGAAGCTACTTGATAGTATGCATAACGAGAAGGAGTAAATCTGTATTTCGTTGCATACGGAAGTTCTACCTATGTTGCAGCAGCTCAGCGATCGATACCGTGCGTCAATTCATTCCCATTTCCTGCGGTCGTGGGCTAAGTATCACCACCCGTCTGCATACGAAGCCGATTTCGGACTGTACAATATTGGCGGTTATTTTCAAATGACAAAACAACCCCCTCACTGAAGATTGACTGGAGAGACTTCACCTGTAACACCCACAGGCAGCCACGCGGAGTGGACCAGCAACCGCTTCATCGATGAAGAAGCGCATAGTGCCCACAACTGTCAGCCTAGCCGTTGCTGGCGGCAGTGACTCAACCAACGCACCCGATGGAGGCAGACTGCGTGGAAACCTCACAGGACTGTCCGATAGTCCTCAAACGACAGTCGAGGTGCAAGCGAATCTCGGTACCGGTGTGGACACTTCCAATATCAGTGCAAGCCCAACTGTGTCTAGTTGGGGATTTAAAAAAGGTGGGTGTCTGCTTTAGGATAGGGTCATATACCATGCTATTGTGCAAATATCACTGCGCACGCATCATGTAGTTCCAATTGAGTGGCACTGTTTGTTGTTGTATGTGTGCACTGAGTGGTTGCGTCGATTGTATTGTTGTGCGTGTTGTGCAAGAGTGACTGTTGTGATCGTGTAGTTCCAATTGAGTGGCACTGTTTGTTGTTGTATGTGTGCACTGAGTGGTTGCTTCGATTGTATTGTTGTGGGTGTTGTGCACGAGTGACTGTCGTGCGGACTATTGCATGTGTATTTGTCTCAGATGTCCACTGATTCGTCCAATTGTATTATCCTGGCCCTTGAGCTGCGTCTAAAATCGTGCCGTAATCTTTTCGTGCCGCTTGGAACTATGAGATTACTATTGCACACGTGGACAGAGTCCAAATGATTAGATACTTTGCGTCACGTGCATGTGTGCATAAATGTTCTTATCGATATTTTTTTGGAATACCCTTGCGTATACCAGGGCACAACCAAATGACAGAGCATAAAGCACTTCATTTCACATCCACATATCAACACACAAGTACTTAATCTGACTTCATGCACCGAACATACAGATGGCGATTCAGTTTGGAGCAAGGTGCGTGGGCAGAGTGGCAGTGAGGGTAGTCCTCGGAACAGGCCAGCCACCAAACGGATTGCCGAGCTCACGAAGGCGCCATCACATAAAACGACACCACAGAACACCATGCCAAATAAGCAAGCGCAGGTGCCACCAATGGAACAGACGCGTGACAACACGGAGCCAGCATGTGAGAAGTCATGTGTTGCGCCTGTGAAGGCCCATGGAATGACTAGAAAAGCAATGCCGACTCACATGAAGGCGGCATCCAAGACTGTGGGGGGCGGTGCGTGGGCAAATGTGGGTGCACCTGGGCCCAAGAAACGGGTGCAGCCACAACTGGTGCACACCACCCCACCAGCCCCCAAGGAGCCACACGAGCGACAAACACACCAAGACACGAGGCAGGAAGCGGTCAAGGAACTCAACCAAACAACACAGGACGGCACAAAGCAGCAAGCACTGCCAACACATGACAGGCAACCAGTAGGGTCGGCGGCACCAGGTGTGCGGGTGTTGGCGATAGCACTTGCTTGACTTGACCTCATATGGGCATTTGACGAATGATTCGAAGTGCTCACTCCATCTGTATCTATATGAGCATGTATACATATGAGCACCACCACACATAGGGAACGAAGGCCATTGCATATGTGTATAACATTCATTGTATTCATTAAACGGTGTATATACTCATGCGCACGGCACAAATCAGTGCCATTCTTACCACTGCGCCACTCGCATTCTCCGTCTAATCGCACAATCAGGGCTGTCATATCGGCTGATGCAAACAATTATAGAACTTTCATTTTATATTCAATTGCATTTCCCATTGAAACCTATCGAATGATTGTCACGCACCTCACATTTACTCGCAGAGACAAAACGCACATCTATAATTACGAACACACACACACTTAGACGTGTCGTATGTACAAACTACATTTTCCAAACTCATGAGACTACCACGAAACAGCATGCACTTGATTTGACACACAGATACCGTTTATACATAACAGAAATTGCTCTGCATGGTGACAAGATGACAAAATTGGAGTCGCGAATGTCAGCTACCCGGCCGAAAAATAAGGTGGCAGGCGACAAAACACAATCGCAAACAAGCTCAGGTGCTATGGCGACTCAAGACTCAATCGACATGGGTACCTCTGCTACTTTGGAAGGTAGAGCATAATTGGATTGTTAATGTTCAATCCGCTACATGTGGAAGTACATGCATCTATTGGTATTTTTACATGAACTTACCAAAGCATACGAAATACAGCATTTTGTACATTATAAACCGTAACTGATTAAAATATCTCCGCATATACAATAGAACCCGAAAATCAGGTGGACTTCCGCGGCGGGAGAGATGCAAAGGTACGGCTGCGTTGCATATTCATTACCACCTTTTGAGCCTCTCAATTGTGAAAATCATGATTAGAAATGCCGCTCTTTATATGCCGTATTTTACTCTCATGTATTGAAATAAATACTAACATAGTAAGTCTAGTGGATGTCTGATTTTCCCTTAGTCTTTGAAATTACATTTAACAACATAGTACGTCTGACGGATGTCTGATCTTCTCTTAATCGTTGCTGTTATCTCTAGGAGTTGTCGGATGTTGAGACCATTGTTATGATCCGAAGGTGTGCGCAATTGCACGCTGCCATTGTGTCGCGGCTGTGGAGTTCGCAGTCGGTGATGCACGAAGTGTATTTACTGATAAGTCTTCTCACGTGCCACACGGCCCACAGTGCTACACACAGTACTACGTACACGGCTTTCCCCTCCGCTGCAGTGCATACTCCCACCACAACTACTGCAGGCGACCCACGCTGGACAGACGAGACACCCTCTGTCCAGACCAGTGATACCCGTGGTACCAACAACACCAGCGCAGATGCTTCGGCAATGGGTGGTGGGCTGCTGTGTGCGTTCCACAGCTTGTCGACTGTGTGCTATTTTGCGACTGAAGTGCTGGCGCATCTGAAGTGTTTTGTGGCGCTGATGGACAGTCGCTCTATCGACCTGCTGCAGGACAATGTACGGTATGTGATAGTTTTAGGGTTTTAGGGTTTAGGGTTTAGGGTTTACTGAAGCGTTGGCGCATCTGAAGTGTTTTGTGGCGCTGGTGGACAGTCCCTCTATCGACCTGCTGCAGGACAATGAACGGTATGTGATAGTTTTAGGGTTCAGGGCTTAGGTATCTTTATTTGTTTACACGCTATTGCTATATACAATGCCTGATGGCCGCTGTAGACTTGCGGTGGTAGGGTTCTAGGGTTTAAGGTTTTAGGGTTAGGTGGCACATATCAAGTGTGGATAAGTCATGCGGAAACGAGCTCACCATCCATTGTCACTGGACTCGTTCTATGCTATAGAGAAGTGGCCTCAGTGTATATGGGTGGTGTGTGTAGGCTGTTCGTCCGTGCTCTATAATATGCTGAGCATTCATGTATGTATATGTGCCTATAAACACGTACATACCCTGTTCGTCCGTGCTCTATATATATGCTGAGTCATTCATGTAGGTATATGCGCCTATAAATACGTACATACCCTGTTCGTCCGTGCCCTATCAATATGCTGAACATTCATGTATGTATATGTGCCTATAAATACGTACATACCCTGTTCGTCCATCTTGCACGTAAATGTACATTCACTTTAGTATATGTGCCTGTACGTACACATCTCCTGTGCACCCATTCTAGTATATCTGTTGCACTCGTATTTCACGCAGGTTGGGGTTCTGGAATCCGCATCTGCAGATTTTCTTGGCCACAAAACTATCCCAAATACGCACACGTCGAATGAGAGACGACAGCGACCGACAGAGTACCAAACGCTTCAAACCAAAGAACAAGCTCATGAACATCACCATGTCATACCACAACGACGATGACAGGTACCACTATGATAAACCACAGGATTATAGCATGGTGATAGAATGATTAGAACTATTAAGATGTTTTAGGGTTTTAGGGTTTAGATGTTAGTGAGTGAGGGTATCAATGCACTACACCATTGCATTATAGCATGGTGATAGAATAATTAGATATATTAAGTTGATACTGAGTAAGGCCTGTGTGGTGTTTTGCGGTTTGTGACATTAATGTTAGACACACTAACTTCTCAGGTAAGAATATGGATCTAAGATCTTTTACAAGAAAGGGATCCAAGGTCTCAAATTAGCACAAGGGAAGTAGTGAAACTTGTGAATGTATCCGTGTGCTTGGGATGGCCGTGACTAATATATATGTATTCCTTAGCAATGGTTCCTCACATTCAGATAATAGAGCAGTGCAGTGTCGCCATGCAGAGAGGCTTTTAGGCTTTTAAGCTGGGGTTTAGGGTTTTCAACATAGGGATTTCCTATGCAAGATGTATGGTAGACGGTTATGGATGTGTGGATGGACATTAAATGAACGTTCATGCGCTAGAGCTAATTAGTGTCACAAGTCTGATGTTCGTGTATTGCTTGAGATTCGAAGTAGTGCTGTGATAGTACTCTGCTTACGGCGCAACTCGGGTGTTGAGAGGGTGTTTAGGGTTTAAGGTTTAACACTAGTCTGTCTACACTGCAAGTAGAAGTCAACGCCATATCGTTTCAAACCGATTTTCAGATTTGTTGCGGTGTAGCAGACCTGACAGTTGCGCCTGTCCTATTTTTTTAGGGCCTGGGCTTAGGGTGGCTGCACCTATAGTTTAAATGCCATCGGCCTCTCACTATTTTCTGAACGCTTTCCCAAAAGGAGTGGCAGTGGCGGTCGAATAGAACCGCCAGCCATTGTGCACAACCGCGAGAGCTGCAGAGACGCATTCCAGAACATCGTCCGCGAAAGGATCACGGCATCCACCGCATATGGACTCCTTAGCAACGCACACGTCCCTAGCAACGCACACTCACAAGCGAGAGCGAAGGAACCCTTAGACAAGCGGATAAGGAAGCTTATGCACGACTTGCATGTGGATAATGTGCAGTGGTTTGCGGGGCTGTTTGTGCGTCAGTTGTTACGTATTGCCGTCACACCGCCGGACGAGGAGGACGTCAGTACATTAGCCGACAGCAAGGTATTATAGACACGCTCATGTGGACATACATAGATGCCTATTGACTATCATGTATATATTTAACATGTTTGGCGTTTACTATAAGCGACATATGCCCCCTGGTGGATGCATATATGATTGACATGTATACTCAAACACATAAGCCTGCATATATATTATATATACATACACACACACACACATATATATATATATATATATATATATACATCAACCCACGGGGTAATGCTATACGTCCAGTCTTTAAAGTCAATTGTTCAGCTACTATTGTTTGCAATTCCCTAAAATCGAATTACGTTGCGGCCAAACAGCACGCAGTCTTTATGGATTTACGCTGATATGTCACTCCACAAAGATCATTCCGATTACATATTATATTTGTAATGTTGCTTTGGTCTCGCCGCTTTAGTTTGTGTACTCAGTAATTCTGTGCAGACATTAACAGATATGTATACGTACCCCAGTAGTCGATTTCAGATAGTTCTAGATCTTTACAATATAAACCAGTAGTCACCAGATATAAGTACAATTACCACCATTAAACTCTAAAACCCTACAACCCCAAAACCCTAAAACCATAAAATCCTAAAATCCTACAACCTTTAAGCCTTAAAATTTTGAAATCCTAAACACAATTTTTGATCGCTGGTCATCACCTTCACCAGGAGTCCCCACTGACTAAATTGCGCAAAGAAGACTACACAAAGTTTAATCAGTTGTCCAAACGACTGACAACAAACAACACGACAACCGCACCAAGACACACACCGAAAGACAAACGGACACAGCCACCCACGCACAACACGCCCAACGGCACGAAACAAGCAGCCCGCATGACCAAGCAACAATTGGGCGATACCAAACAAGCAGCGCATATAACCAAACAGCTATTGGAGGATGCTGAACAATCAGCGCAAATCTCTAAACAACCATTGGCCGACGCTAAAGGCCGTGTGCACAATGGCACACGCATGCGTGATGCTGCAAAGTCCGACGGTTCACATGACAGGTATAGAGACATGTTTGTTATTATATTCATACATAGATATCTGGTTGTTTGAATTTTAAAATGTCACAACCATACTTGTTGGTTTTTTCAAATTGGCTTCAATTAACACTGCACGATTGATTGATGCCGCAGGGGCTGCCAAAGAGTATGTAAAGTATTTAATCACTTCCGTGCCTTATTTAAGTGAATGAAGACTCATTTTGATACACATGTGTGCAATGTCTAATGCCCTGAGACTTTAAAGTCATCATGAAGCTCGCACCTAGGAAATAGTGTTTTTCTAACCATACACTTTCCCTTGGCAGTGATTCCACTCCATCAGACGGACAGACATCGTCTGCACCCGACAGCCTGCACGACGTCACGCAGTATGTGATATGACAGTAAGCGCATATGATTGCGTCTGGTGTGTGTGTGCCTGTTCACAGGTTGGTGTGTGTATGTGCGTGTTCACAGGTTGGTGTATGTGTGTGTGTGCGTGTTCACAGGTTGGTTTGTGTGTGTGTGTGCGTGTTCACAGGTTGGTGTGTGTGTGTGAGCGTGTTCACAGATTGGTGTGGGTG